ATAGAGGCAGCCTTCTTATGGGGTAGTAGTGATCTTAAAAGGAAAGTGCATTTACTGAAATGGGAGGAGGTTACAAAGAGAATTGATCAAGGGGGACTTGGCATTAGAAGGGTCAGAGATGTTAATGTTTGTCTCCTTCTCAAATGGTGGTGGAAGTTTGGCATTCAAACCAATGCTCTCTGGAGGTCAATTGTGTGCAGCAAATATAAAATTAACAACTCCTGTTGGCTCCCTCCTCTAAGTCTCTCATACAAGCACTCTAGAGTCTGGAGGGACATCATCACAGTAGGGGCTCTCAATAGGCCTATCTTTAATTACTTTGTGAGCCAATGTGGTTTCAAGGTTGGGAATGGCACTAGAATCAGATTTTGGTTTGATAGCTGGTGTGGTGGCCTATGTTTGAAATCTTCTTTTCCCCTCCTCTTCAATTTGTCAAATGATAAGGAAGGTTCCCTCAATCATTATTACACAAGGAGGACAAGCCCATTTGTTTGGAATCTCCCTCATAGAAGAGAGTTATTCTCATGGGAATTGGCTGAAGAGGTGAGATTGAATGCTCTCCTATCCTCTGTGCCATCTCTGTGTTTGGATTGTGAAGACTGCTTAGTATGGTGCACAGATTCTGGTAAGAGCTTCTCTGCTTCTGCTCTCTATTCTCACCACTCATCTCTCTTTGGCCCCCATCTCAAGGTTAGCAAATTTGTTTGGAACTCATTATTGCCCCCCAGAGTATCTTTTTTCACCTGGCCAGCCTGGAAATCTAGAATCAAATGTTCTGACTTTCTGCTCAAGATTGGTACTCTTGACAGCAATGCTTCTCCCCTCTGCCATTTTTGCAATTCGGAAGTAGAAACTGCTCCCCATGTACTGCTTCATTGCTCTTTTTCTTGGTCAATCTGGTCAGCGGTTATTGAGGATTGGGGCCTACATTGGTGTATCCCTAAGTCAGTAGATGGCCTGCTTTATTGGTGGATGGGCTGGAAATTCTATAATTTTGACAAACTAATATGGAGAGCAATTCCCTTAATTGTACTATGGTCTATTTGGAAACTCAGAAATGATTGTGTATTTTCTAATGCACAACCCTCTTCTTCAGGACTTCTAGATCTCATAAAATTCAGATCTGCCATTTGGCTCAAAGCTTCCATTAAAGAATTCCCATACTCAGTTCATGATCTCGTCTACAATTGGAGACAGATTAGGGGCGGAATTTAGTGCTCCAATTTCAGTTTAGTCAGTTTTGTGCTATCTGGGTCGATGTTGTCTGCTGCATTGGTGTTCTGTCAGTGTGTCTGCTGGTTTGCTCTAGTTTCAGCTCTGTTCTGCCTTATATTTTGCTCTGTATGCTGTCTGCTGGTTTGTAGTGCATCAGTGCTGGTTTGTCTGCTGGTTTGTCTATCTATGTTTTTCTATCTGCTGGTTTGTCTGCTGGTTTGTCTATCTGCTGTCGAGCTGTGCATCAGTGCTCTATCTATGATCTAGCAGTCTAACTTTGGTCAAAGTACATCACTGCCGGTTGTTCTACTTTGGATAGGGACTGCTTCTACAGTCAGTTTAATCTGCTCTGCTCAGTGCAATGCATAGCTTCGGTGGGTGTTGCTTGGCAGTGTTATAGTCAGCGATTTTGCTCTTTATGGTTAAGATGCTGTCCAGATTTTCCTTACGCCTCATTTGATAGTAGTATGGATTCTGTTATGCTCCTCTTCTGCTTCTTTTTTGTTTTGGTTTGTTGTTGGTTTCTCACCAACTGGCGCTTGGAGCTTCAGTTAGCTCCAAGCTCCTCTTTATTGATGTCATGTATCCTTTTTGCATACTCTCATCAATAAAGATTTTCTTTGCCGATCAAAAAAAATAAAATAATGTAAGTATATATATATATATATGTTAAATGTGGTAAAATAGAGAAGTACCTTAGTTAGGTGGGTTTGAAATGATATGGGTTTGCACAAACTGATTCAAGTCCATCCCCTGTAGCGGTATCCCGGATCCTTCCAAATAAACTTCCTGCAGTTTTGGTGTGCCGCCGGAAGTAGTGGCAGCGAAAGTCTTTGTTTTGGGGCACTTATACAATACAAGTATTTCCAAGGATGGCCATTCAAAACGAAAGTCGTCTCCTCCTGTGCAGAAACCACTTAGGTTTGGAAGGCATTCAAGATTGATTTCTTTGAGACTTTTGAAAACCATCTTGTAGTCCACTCTCTCTTCTTCTTCTTGTTGCCCTTCGTTTTGCTTCGCAGCAACAATTTCCTCAATTTCTTCACACTTACTTACCGAAAGCACTTCAAGTTGATGAAGAGCTTGAGCTATGGAAGGTTGGAAGACATATTTCAGTTTGTCACATGTATAGACCGTCATTTTTCTTAGGTTGCAGAGTTGCACATGTTGACGACTGGAGCAGTTCAATAGATGCTTCAATCTAGGCAAGTTCTCTAGTGTTAAATCTGTCAAACCAGAAAGCAGCTTCATGCCTTCTCCTTCAGAACAAAAATCAAAAACTTGTTCCAATTTCTTGCATCCTCCAACGTAAAGCTTCTCCAAATGTTGTAGCATTTGAAGCAAATTGAATGGAAGAAGAATAGTTGATAGTTCAGGACACATGAAAACTTTCAAGCTTCTGAGCTTTGGGAACCACTCCCAGCTGGAAGTAGTAAGTGCACTTGCTACACATATCCCTTTGAAACTATGCAAGCAAGAGAGTTCCAATTCTTCCACGTTGAAGAGCAATTGCAGATCACGTGGTTGTGCCTGTGATGAAATCCCCCATTCCTCTGTGTTGATCAAGTATTCCAATTCACAAAAATAGTTAATGTTCAGATGTGTAGCTCTCTTCAACACCATCTTTAGCCATTTACTCCAATTAACCAGGGGTCCAACCAAATTTCCAAGTCCCAAATAATTTGGAGAATAATTTTCATATTTCGAACTCGATTTTCTGATCAAAATAATAAAACTATCCAACTCAGGAAAAACAAAGTCCTTGGGTATATACCTAATGTCAGGTATGGAAATGATTAGCACTTTTAGGCGAGGCCAAGATGTTAGTGAAGCAGCTACTTCTACTGCAGGGTCTCAGGTCCCGTCCGAATATTTGGTGTCAAACAAGTACAACTCCTTCAAATGGGATAAAGAAGATACCATTGCGGTCGGAATCAGAAATTTATGACGGCTTTCAGTCATGTCCAACAACCTTAGATTAGTTAACTCCCTTATAGCATTTGGTACCTCAGAAAAGAAGGCACACCTGAGGCTAAGGACTTCAAGTGTCTTTAACTGTCCAAGAAATTTAGTGTCCCCAAACTTAATTCCATCAAGGACTAATGTTCGAAGACAGTTTGGTTATTGAAAGCATCAGGACTTCGAATTGGATTGTCAGAATTGTAGTATTGGTCTTTGCTCAAATCTAAAACACTAAGTGCTTGCATCCTTGAAAAGAATTCATGTAAACATGACCATGCATTTCCATTGTCTTGAAACAGTAATATTTGGAGCTTTGGACATTCTAAGACCTCAGGAAGATTACTGATTTGATTTCTCATCAATAATATGCCAGTGTATTGATCCAAACTATCAATCTTTGGCCAATCATTCAAATTGCAACCTGCTCTTACAAAATACTTTTCGGATCCAATATCTATGGCAACATCACGTACAACTTGGATTTCTTCTCTATTTCATTTTGCATGATCAATGGATCTCTGCACTCCATTTCGCAGAGCCTCTACAGTTTCAACTTGGATTGTCAAATTTTCAATGTATTTCTTTCTATGAATCACATAACTGAATTAGTGCCCAACTGGCTGTTAGGGAAAATCGATGTGATTCCCCACAAGTAAATCAATCAATGGGAATAAAAACTAATGCGGAAAAATTAAATCAAAGGCAACACAAGAATTTTTACGTGGTTCCCTCAATGTGAGGTACGTCCACGGGATCGAAATTCGATTCCACTATCAACCAAATAAGTTTCAAACGATTACAAACGAGACACTAATGGTCTCACAAAACCACCCTTAGGTGAATTCCAAATAATCACAAATAAACAAAGAGGAAAGACCTCACCAAATAGAAGAACCAAAATCTTCTGAACCAGAGTTGAAAACGTCCCAAAATAATCCTCCAAATCAACCCACACAAAGATTGCTGAAATCCTACCACTAAATCAAACCAGCAGCATGCTTGTCTACAATGATGATTACCAAAGATGATTACCAAAGATGATCATCTAGCACACACACATACAAAAACAGTCGCTGCACTCTTCTCCTGCGGTACACACAAAACAATATATATATATATATATATATTGTGAATCTAGGGATTTGTAATCAAATCCTAATTGTTACCAAATTAGATTAGGTCTCCACAAATATAATATATAAAAATATATTATACCTAAACCAAGCCAAATTGAAACTCTTTTAATAGATCAATTGGGTCCCACACTCCAATAAGGAGGTATACCCAACAATTCTCCCCCTACCGACTTAGGTGGAGATATCAACCAGACCCGCCAAAGTTCGACACTTCAAATGTTTGTCCCTCGACAAAGTCTTCGTCAACATATCTGAAATATTATCATCTGTGTGAACCTTTTCGAGTTGTAACAATTTCGAATCTAACACATCACGAATCCAATGGTATCTCACATCAATGTGTTTCGATCTCGAATGAAAAGTAGAATTTTTACTCAAGTGAATAGCACTTTGACTATCACAATAAAGCACATACTTTTCTTGCTTCAAACCCAAATTTCATTGAATCGGTGGTCAAGATAGCTAAATTTTAGAGTTCATGGACTATGGCTCTATCCTGAAAAGTACTTTCAAATTTAGTCAAAAATATCTTCTTTTGGACCAATTTCCATCTTCTTCTTGGCGACTTTACTTGGAAATAGGTGCTGCGTACTGAAGTATAAATTTAATGCTATAGTATTGTATAATTGCAGAAGCATAAGGGTGTGCTGGATCCCCTTGAAGTTGTAGCAGGGGAGATATCTGATGAATCAATTTTGTTATGCCTCGATTAATTTATGGTATGTTGGAACTTGGAAATAAAAGCATGGTTTCTGTTGTCTATAATCATGGATGACATCCGCTAGCTTTATATTTTGTGGCCTATTGTTAATTTTGCTCTTTTTGTGGTCTTTCATAGGTTACTGATGTTGCTGATGCATTGATACTAAACCGTTTATTTAGACAATTATTCAGCAACGGCATGGTAAGTAGTTAAGCCTCCTATATTTTCCATTTTCCCAGCCTTCTACGCATTCATCCCATTGATTTTCATTTTCTACTAAGAAATTAATACATGATGTCTTCTAGTATAGATTCTTGTTTCTACTTCAAATCGTGCCCCAGATAATCTTTATGAAGGTGGACTACAGAGAGATCTTTTTCTACCATTCATTGCCACTTTGAAGGTATGCCCGTGGATGTTTCCTGTTGAGTGTGGTGATTAGATGGATTCAAGCCCAATGAGCTTTTTCACCTGTCAAGTAAAATGGTAAAAACAAAGGAAAAGTTCTGTTTTCCTGAATCTATACCAAGCCTGACATGGTGACAAGTTTTAATGGGCTTGAACTTCTTTGATCACCAGTGCTTACAATATATATTGGTGTTACATGAGAACTTGAGGTCTCAAGGGCCGTGTCTTCATTGTTGCCTTTATCTTCTTATTGAGTTAGCAACTTATTTCCATGTAGGAAAGATGTGTCGCTCATCAAATTGGTTCGTCAATAGACTATCGGAAAATGACTTCGGTAATAAGATCCTCT